ATTAGCTCAGGGCTAATATATATGATGTAGCCTCAGAGCTAATATATATGACGTTAGCCCTAGAGCTAATATATATTATGTAAGCCCCAGAGCTAATACAGTATATATATGATGTTAGCTCCAGACCTAATAGCATAAGCTCCAAAGCTAATAACATTAGCTCCAGCGCCAACATAACTGGTGTTAGCTTCTGTGTTAGTATATATATGGTGTTAGTGCCAGAGCTAATATAAATCATCAATGGTGGGCACAGCTAATCAAAAACTTAACTTTGCTAACCACTAATTTGCTAACTAAAAATTAGCTTTGCTACCGCTAAACCGCTAAAAAAATGATTGGAAGCTAACACTAAAGCGCTAACTTTTATCATACACTGCTATCGCTGATATTAAGACTGTCTGTAGTGTGACAATGTTGTAAGTGAACACAATTTAAAACAGTTCGTGAATCACAAGTAAAGCGTCCATGGCCTGTTCAGAGTTGAGCTTTCAGAAATTAATCTGGTCCATCAGAACCAAAAAGGTAGAGCAGAACTCTGCTGTGCTGATGCAGAGTGATCCATTTAATGTGTGTCAGACGTCTCCCTCATGTCATTTACTATAATGAATTAACTCACGTTGGCAATCCTCTTTGTGGTTAACTACTTTTATAAACTAACTACAAAGTTGCTGTACGTCGTCATCAATATTCTCATGGTAATAAATTTGTTTGTATTAAAGATGTGCGAAATGTGTGAGAGCATCATGTCCCAGAGACAGTCATATCACAGAGTGTTATAAAGCATGCTCAGTAGGAATTATATGTGAAATGTTTGACAGTTTACAATGTTTTTTAGTGTGAAAATGGGTATTAATGCTTTCTGGTTTGGTTTGGCATTTATGTTAAAGTCTCTGTTATTGGTTGTATACTGACAGCATTTGTCAGAGACTGTTTATAGTAGGTATGAGGAGGAAAAAAGCACCAAGAGGGTGATGACATCACCGGGAGGCGCTTAGCTTTGCTTACCTCAACATACCATAGCATAGCATTACTCTATGTACGTCACCATTGTCCTGTATGATTTTAGTGTGGAGCACTTTCTTTTTAAAAAAAGTGCATTTGAATTTACAAGAGTTAAATTTAGCAGGATCTAATTCTGTGGAACATTTTCAAAGTTAGCAAAAAATATTAATATGCTACATGAAAAGTTAGCTCAACTATTAGCAGAACTGTGCCCACCACTGTATATGGTGTTAGCTCCAGAGGTAATAAATTAAACATCACAAAATGTTCAAGTTTGATCATTGGTCCATATATTGTGCATAAGGACTAATACAAAATGTAACTTTATTGTTTTGTTTTAACCTTTTAGCTTTGCTTCCTTGTGTTTTAGTCTCCACTACAACCGATGTATCTCATCGCACCAGAATGTATTTCACCGGTAAAATAATAGCAACATCCTTAGGTGAAAAATGTACGCAAAATATATTTTTTAAATAACTATGAGTTTTCACGAGTCACAATAATCAACTTTTAGTAGAATAGAGAAATACCAACATAATAAGGTCAATATGTGCAAGTAGTCAGAGACCCCTTAAAGATGTTCCACATTTGGTCTATGGAGCAAACACTCACCTGTTTGGGCCGGGTAGGTCTCACCTCTTCTACCTTGTTGGTCTTCATCTTGGTCTTCATCTCCTGTCTGTGCTGGCGTACAGCACTCTCTTTGGGTCCCAGCCAAGTGGTGTCTTTAGTGGGCCTTTGGATAGTGGGGATCTCACTCGCATCCAGATCTGGCTGCAGCTCCACAGCCTCTCCTATGGGGAAAGATGTCAAAATAGTCAGTCAACAATCTCATGATCATCATCATTATGGTATTAGAAGGTGAATTTATTCAAGTAGGACACCACTCATGGTCTAGATATAATGTTCCGATACTGATATGCAAGGTCAGATTTTTGCATTGTCACAATTTAATCTGGTTCTTGGAATCTTTTTTGGGTTGTTTTAGCTAGATGCTTTCGGTTTCAAAGAAAATTTCTAACCTGCATTTTGCCTCTCTCTTAATGTTTATCTGCATTTGGGTCCTGGTTTTTTATTGACCCTAGTTTAATCAAGCCAAAATGAAATGACATGGGTTTTTGGTTTTGTTACCTGCAGCCTGTCACCAACATACCCACTGTTGTACTTTTTTCATTTCAACTTATAAGAGGTTAAAAAAAACAAAAAACATTTTTACCAGCAAAAAATAGCATTTGTGGACAGAAATGATCCAGAGCAAGCCTGTAACCATGTGTAATTCTGCTCTTAGCTTGGTCATTTTAAAATTGAATTGTCAGTATAACTTGAACGACTTTGAGCTCAAAGTCTCCATTCAAGAAACAACTTTTCTATGTTAGGTTTCAGTTTTCAGCCCCTCAGGGTTCCACTTGGCCTAGATCCATGCTAAATTACTTTAAACATCTCCGCACTTTGTCGAATCTTGTCAAACATGAACTTAATAGAAGGGGAAAAAGTCTTCAGACAGATGGTGCAAACAAAGCAAGAGGCCATCAGGTCCAGTCCAACTTGTTGTTTCTGACAACAGTGCATACTTTAGGGTTTGCAGAGAAGGAGTGGAAGAGAGGGGCTCACTCCAAACCAGCTGATTTTAGATAAAAAAAAAAGCACAACACAGATTCTTTACATAGCTCATCGCAACTCTTTTTACTTGTATGGAATAAAATTTCAAACAGCAAATGTGTCAGAACACCAGTTGTTTTTGCTGAATCTTTGGAAGGGATCGGGCATTTCACCTGCACAACTGAGACAGTAAAGAAGGTCAAATACTTGGCCTTTAGGTAGGTAGTTCAAAGTTACCGGTATGTAGGCCAAGCTGTGACAAGAAGACGTGTAAAAACAAAGGTGTGTTTTAGCAGATATGGTAGACCGAGGAGGAAACCTCTGAGGTAAATTTCAAGGACTATGAGAGAATGGGAAAAAGGAAATCCCAAAATGAAGCAATAACAAAGTGCTGGTGCTTTTCACCATTGGATTGATCTGGCCTTGCTGGACTTCCCTCCATGGTGCTACACAGTCTGGAATTCCTTGAAAACAGTTTCTTTGACAACAGAAAAAATGTAGGGGGGAGCAGTTAAAGAAATCAGGCGTGTCCTTGCGCATGTATGCACAAGTCGAGTAGCTAAACTCTCAACACACTTGACTGAGCAGGTGAACCTTAGCTGTCTGATCAACACAAGTGCAAAACCTGCACTTTGTTTTTTCTAATGAAATCTGGGACATCTGGTCAAGCACAGAGAACGTATGCTACTTAATGTACACACACACTAATAAAATGGGTCGAGACCTCATCCTTAGGGGGTACTAGGCCTCTGCACAATAAGCTGCTCCACAGCAGAGGGCTGAGAATCAGCAGAGTCAACAGAGCAGGGACTACCGTCCAGTCGGCTGCTTGACTTAATCTGCACACAATGGCCTGGGAGGCTTCCCCATTCTATATTTGATCCATGTCAAATTCCCAGGTGGCATGTAGGACAGAGGTGACACGGCTGACTGTTCAGGTTCTGGTCAACTGAGCAAATGGTAGTCTTGGCCAGATGGTGGCGGGTGGAAACAAGAAAACTACAATGAACATGATTCCCAAAGTATTACATTGATGCTTCTCTTTATTCTGCCATTAAAAGGGGTGAGAGCAGGCAAAATCAAAGAGTAGAAATAACAAGAGGTTTCAAAACTCTGTTCTCTCAGTTTAGCGTCGTTCCATTAGCGAACACGTCTTAGAACATAATTTGGGTTCAGCGAAGGTAGAAAGTTGGGCTCAATAACTGTTAAACCACAAATTTCAACTTCCTTCAACAATATGCTAATAATTTTATCAAGACAAATCAATCATGCTCCAAATGTTTCCAGGACGGCTTTCTTCCACCTGAACAATATCACTAAAATAAGCAACATCTTGTTCCAAAATGATGCAGAAAAACTGGTCCATGTATCGCTTCAAGGCTGGACTTTTAGCCTCTCACCATTCTGTCAAATTCAGAATAAAATATAAAACCTTCTACCATACAAAACTCTCATCAACCAAGCTTAATCTTACAATAAAAAATCTTATTGTTCCATATTTTCCCAATAGAACACTTCACTCTATGGCTGCAGGTTTACTTGTGGTTCTTAAAGTTTCTAAAATGAGAGGCAGAGCTTCCAGTTTTTATGTTCTTCTCTGAAACCCACCTTTAAAATGTTCTTTTCAATTCAGTTCAAAAATACTTTATTAATCCCAAAGGGAAATTAATTTTGTTGTTGTAGCTCATCTTTGTTTCACTAGAGTTGTTCTAGATGCTGGTGGCTTTGGGCAGGAAGGATCTCTTGAAGCAGTCCGTCCCACAGCAGATCCAAAGAAACTGGCTGCAGATGCCAATCCGTCCACCCAGACCCAGCAGACCCCTTGGTCCTTTTGGGCAGCAAAACTGCCTAAATGCCGGGCAGAACTCTTCCCTGAGCAATGGCCATTACTCCCAGCAGCCTCCCGAGCCCCTCTTTGCCCAAGACTGAACTGCAAGTGCTGGGGGACGATCTCGGTCCTCCTGCTGTCACGAGTCGCGTTTCCCGCTACCTCCAAGATCTCAGGCACTCAAGCACCGCCTCCCGGTAGACGGTAATGCATCCATGGTGCCTCCTTTTCAACTCATTTGGGATTTGGGGCTGTAGTTGAGGTATTATTTGAGCCTTTGAGAGGTTAATCAGCTGCTCCCGGTTGTAAAAACCACCTTACCAGAGGAAGTAATCATCCAAAAAATGTGATTTACATCCAGAAAAAAGAGGAAATAAAGTTTTCAAAAGCAAAATCTCAGAATGAATGTAAGAGAGCTACTCCAACATGCAGCCACTTTGAGCGGTGCAATTCTTTAGGTAATTGCACATCCTTTAAATAAAATGATGTCAGGTAAATATCTTTCTTCTGCAGACTTCACAATTACTTGTGGTTTCTAGAGTTCCTAAAAAAAGGGGGGCAGAGCTTAAAGTTATCAGGCTCCTCTCTTGTTAACCAACTTCCAGTTGTTTTCTTCAGTCTGTCCATGAGGCTGATACTCCGTTTACATTTAGGACCAGGCTTGAAACTCTCCTTTTTGATAAATCCTATAGTTAGGGTCGGCTTGGGTTTCCTGCTCTATCCCTTAGTTATGCTGCTATAAGCTTGGACTACTGAAGTGAAGCACTGACAAACTGAGCACATTTTCTGACGGCCGCTGTCTTTACTCATTCTACTTTAGACTTGGACCTGTTTTCTTTTGCACAGTATCTCCAGGGTTTGTATTAAATTTGTCCATATGTATTCAGTCTTTTTTACATGCAAGATAATATAAAAGAAAACAACTTGGGGTTTGGCTGTAATGGTCTGACAGGTCACAAAGACAAACACCTCTTGTGCTCATCTGGTTTCTGGAATCGCATTGTTAGTTATCAAGAAGGCATCCTAGTGTACCTATAGGGATGTCCAGACAAATCCCACAGGATTAAAATAGCTCACAGATAATCTGACAAAACCCACTCCGGCTGTTCTAAAAACAGGTATCTGTGCCATCTTTGCCAGAGGCGTTGACTTCAGACGTTCATTTGCCAAGAATCTCCTCGTGCCTATTGAGAACCAGAATAACTTTCCAGCCTCCATTTGGGTCAATGATGATTTAAGACTGTACAAACACAGTCTGATAGGCCACAGACACAGAATGTTGCTTCAGTAAGGAAGAGGTGAAAAAAGTAATTACATAAAATTACCATTGATACATGTGTCCTCATTGAACTCAAAAGAGAACATTACTTTGACCACCCAAAATCAGACCTTGGGCCTATCTCTGACCGGACAAAGATTTTTCATCTGTTCAGAGATGAGCAGTCCCGGAAGCAACTGCTTGTATGGAATCATTTGCTACTTGCTTGCGTATTTTAGACACAAACATTATCATCAGTTTAAACCAGTTATGACCGGATCAGGTCCACACATAATGTACATAACTGATTCAATGAGGTCGCACTCCCGTCCCCTTTAAGGGAGTATAGAGTCGAAGAAAGTCAAAATTTTCTGTTGGGTTCGGGACTTTGGTTCTGGTTCTGGGTCAGGATGGACAGAGTCTCAGCGCTGATAACTTGTCCTTTTTTTTTCATTCAACCTTTATTTATACAGGTTAATCCCATTGAGTCTCAGGGACTCATTTACAAGAGAGACCTTAATTTTAACAAAGCGTGATAACAAAAATGGATAACAAAGACAACAATAGACAATCATAAAGGATGCATGCAAATCTAAAAAAATAATAATAATTTAAGCAAGTGAAAATAAAATGGTAATTAAAAGGAAAAGCAGCGAAAAATACTGCTAGATGATAAGGAGGTGTAGAAACTAAAAACAGGAACATGTCTGCATTGGTTTTTCCCATGAACTTGCAGATGTTTGAAGCCACTTAGAGAGGTCAAGGTCGAGAGCATCAGATCTTTTTGCAAGATGTTCCAGGAAACAGGAGCAGAGTAGGAGAAGGCCCTTTTGCCTAGTTCAGTCCTCACTGAGGGGACACTGCATGTAATAATGTCCTGAGAGAGCAGGCTGTAGCTGCACTCACGCAGAGACATGTAGGAGGAGATGTATGAAGGCAGCAGACCAAGAAGTGATTAAAGATGAAAATGTACCAGTGGGAGAATCTGCGTGAAGTTTAGGATGACCAGTTAACCAGTGAATACAGGGTGCAGTAGTGGGTACAGACAGGGTTACAGACAGTTATGAATCTTAGCACATCATGATAGATAGAATCCAACATCAGCAGAG